AAAGGGAAAGAAGAGTAGAGTAGTAGAGTAGAGTAGAGTAGAGTAGAGTAGAGTAGAGTAGAGTAGAGTAGAGTAGAGTAGGACAGTGTTTTTCAACCTTTTTTGTGCAAAGGCACACTTTTTTCATGAAAAAAATCACGAGGCACACCACCATTAGAAAATGTTAAAAAAATTTAACTCTGTGCCTATATTGACTATATATAAAGTCATTTTCCCACGGCACACCTTACACTATGTCACGGCACACTAGTGTGCCGCGGCACAGTGGTTGAAAAACACTGATCTAATGGTCATTTCACCAGGTGAAGGAAAGAAGAAAAGCATTCTACTTGCATGTTAAGAATGGTCATGTGAATAATCTTTATTTCCTTTTTATATTCTAATATCTTTTCCTTTTTTATTATGTTTTTTAAGGCTGTAAACTGTAGGGTAGGAATTCTTTTCATTAATCTGTACATTACACTGAGAGACTCTCTGACTAGAGTATAAATGATTTAAATAAATACTTACAATATAGTACATGGCTCCTGAAGAGGTTTTCGAAAGCGTGCAGACACATTAATTCTGCTGTGGGTAACTGGCTTCACCTGAAAGACACCACATCCAAAAAAGTCATGTATTTACACTGCATTACTGTATATTTCGGAGTATAATACGGACCTTTTTCCCCTCAAAGAGAGGCTGAAAATCTGGATGCATCTTATATACTGAATACAGCATTTTTTGCCTCCTGAAACCCCGCCCCCTTCACCAAAATGTCCATGCAGAACCTGTAGAAGTCTTTCAGAGAGCTCCTGGAGGCTGGGGAGGGCAGAAATGAGTGAAAAACTGGCTGTTTTGGGGAGGTTTGCAGAGTGAGTGCAAAAACTTTTTTTAAAAAATTGCCTCTTCAAAACCTTGGTAAGTCTTATACTCCGGTGCATCTTATACTCCAAAAATATGGGTAATTTGTTTTAAAACTATTTTAGAAAATCTTTTTCATCAGTACTTTTAAAAGATTTTATACATTATCAATGATACCACTGCATGCCACTGTGAAATAGTTGCCTTTTAGATAAACATTTGCAAGATTTCTCTTTTGCTTTTCTCATCCAGCCTTTGGTTTTTCTTCTTGCTATGTAAATGACTTGCACTTCAGAAGTGAATTACTGCCATTATTAATATGCCAGAGGATGTTGTGGAATTGGCAATCACATAAATGTTGCCCTCCCATTGTTGTCTCAGTTCTGCTAATTTCTTAGCTGGTTTTCATAGTTCATGCCTAGTGGCTTGGAAAGACATCTCTCTCATTTGTCACTATGACCTAGTGCCACTAGCTGGAAAAGGTTATGTTTATCTTTGAAGTTTCTTACATTCAAAAATGTTAAAATTTGGTATATGTTGTAAATGCTGCTTAAACTTGGTTTAGATGTTATATGTATTAAATTATTAATGTGCTCTTTCAACACACCAGGATTCCTGAGATTAATTCGTAACAGTTTCCTTTATGCCCAAAACAGGAAATTGGAGTTACCAGATAAGGAACACACCAGAATTTTTTTTGGGGGGGGGGAGAACCCCCTATTTGTGCTTTCAGACTGTTTTATTTTGAACCCAAAAACCAGTTTTACATTTGAAACACAAAAAATATGCTTAACTAACTTTCTTAAACTGTAATCATGACAAACAGACAAAAGTATAAGGAAATGGAAAAGATATTGCACAACTATGTTATTTTAGAACTTATTCAGAACACAGAACCAGAAGGAGTAAGAAAAGGAACAATCACAAGATTTGTGTTAGTATGTCTGTGCATGCGTAGTTTATATATATTTATATATTATACACACACAGGCCCATTTTAAATATAATGTTATATTTATATAGCATAATTAAATATAATGTTACACTTATACAGGATAAGTAGCAATCTCAGATTTTCACATTGCATTCAAATTGACAAAAAGCAGAATTACAAGTAGTCCTCCTGAACATCCATTTGTTCATCAACCATTCAAAGTTCTGGCTGATGCAGGATATCTATGGTCACATGAACAAAATCCAAACCCACTCGTAGGCCCACCTGCATTTATGATCACCCTTTGGCTGGCTGCCTCCCACTGTGGCCAACTTTCCTTACCACCTTGCCCATCTCCACTTATGCCCACCACATAACACGTAAGTACTAGCCAGGGACTTATTTCATGAAGGTGCAGCTAGGGCATATTCTGTGCTCCGCCCAGGATGTCCTTTGACATTTCAGTATTCACTATCTCTGTTCTCACCAGCTCCTTTTTCCATTCCAGCATCCCTAAATCCTTCTTTTACACAGTAGGCTTTTTTTTTTTAGTGAAAGAAGACTCTGGGTGGGACACAAACAGGGGGCCTGAAGAATGTGTAAATAGGGCCCCTGGCTGGTTCACAGTAGTGGCACAAAGTGTGGTGGGCAGAGCTAGGTTTTGGGGACAGCAGGTAGATGGAAGGCCAAACGGACAGACGGTGGGGGAGATAGGCAGGCGAGGGGAGTTCAAGAGCAGGCAGTTCCTTACCTTACCAAAGCTCGGGGCTGGGCGAGATCAAGCCAACAATGGCTTGGCTAAGGATGAGTGCTACCTAACAACCAATGGGATTAAGTTACCAACAGCAACAAGGCTCTGCATCTCACATCATATGTAACATATTCAAGTGACATCACACTTTATGACCAAGTCACTTAGTGGCAGAAATTTGTGTCCCAATTTCTATCATTAACCAAGAACTAGCTGTGTATGCTTTTCTTCCTCTATTGATTGTATGGTAATAATTAGCAGCAAACTGCCACAAAACAGTGCCAGCCACAAAAATAAATTCTGATGATATTGACGTAATAGTTTTCTATCTTTGTTATTGTTGAAATAAATTAGATTTTTCTTCCATGCTGCTTCTGCTTTGAAGCATAGTAATTTCCAATTTGTAGTTGAGGTTAACTGGTTGAAATTGATTGGTTTTTAAAAAAAAAAAACCTAATCCTATGCGCAGAACAATTTACAGTGAACTGTGCACGCAGAGTCACTAAAATCCAAAATGGTGGTGGCAAAGCGACAGCGAGGGAACCAGCTTGGGGGCGTGGCAGGCATGGGTCGCTGTGGGTTCTGCAACCCAGGCCTGAATTCAGGGGTGGGTTTCGACTGGTTCGCACCGGTCCCTGCGATTCGGTTGGTTGCCGAACCCGGAAGTAAGTAACTTCTGGGAACGGCGAAGCCCCCCCCCCGTGCCCGCGCGCGCCCGCACACCCGCGCCTTACCCGGTTTTTACGAATTCTGCACTTCCACGCATGCGCAGAACGCATACAACGCCTGCGCGATCCTCCAGGAGCAGCTGGAGCATCGCGCAGACGCTAGTACGCATGCGCGTGCCACGAGGACGCCGCCGGCCTCGTTCTAACCGAACCGGTTGGAACGGGGCGAGAAACCCACCCCTGCCTGAATTCCACTACCGGTTCAGCTGAATTGGGCCGAACCAGCAGCAATCCACCTCTGATTCAAAATGCAATATTACAATTATAATCAAACTGCCCACTTACTCTAAAAACCATTTTAAAACTTAGTTAACAAGGTTGGGACAGTGTGATTTAAAGTTTTGGTGTCAATCACACATTTTGTCAGGCGAAAGCAATTAGAACCTATCATGAGTATTCTCAAGCAGAAGCTTTACTGTTAATCACCTATGTTACAAGAATCTCATTGGACCGACTGCATTCCCTTGGCAATGGCTAGATAAGGCTTCATGGATTCTGGGGAAGGTCAGGCCTGGGCCGCTTCCTGCAATGCAAGGACTCTAAGCTGGGTCCCCTTTTAACACCTCCCTTCAGTCTAGCTGGAGATTCCATCACACTTTTCTATATATTCTGCATTTTTATGACTCTTTAAAACATTTGTTCTATATATTGAAGAACTATATTATAACAAGCCACTCAAAATATTCCCAGGAGTGTGCAATTATACTTTCTGCATGCTGATGAAACCTAACAAAGTGTCTCAACAAGTCAACATATTATAGAAGACAGTTGTCTAAGCTACACATACATAAACAGTACCCACAAGAGCCTTGAATGTGAAATTCTCCCGAGAGTTCTTTCAAAAATTGCTCTCAATTTATTATTTTAATAAAACAGAATAAACTTATGATAATAGAATAAATATACAAGAAATGTTTTACTCATATTAACTGAATTTAATAAATGTAAATCATTTTTAAATTAATTGGAATAAAACCATGCTCAGCTTTTGTCCTGACCAACATTCTTATTCCTGATCTAAGAAGGCAATGACAAAGCACTTCCAAAACCTAACCAAGGAAACTGCAGAAATTTGTCCAGCCAACATTGACTCAAAAGTGTCTGAGCGTAAAGGAAGAGACAACGTCGCGACAACACAACATGCAGTCTCGACTTTCCGAGACCGCCGTTGACACTTTTGCCTCTGGACAGTCCAGCAGGACCTAAACCATCCCGGAGAGATGGTGACCAGGAAGACAAAGCCTTGCTGGTCTCAGGGACATCGCAAAGTCCCTGGTTGACCCAAGGGAAGCGCTTCAAACCAGCAGCAAACAGGCAGACCCCAGGCTGACAAAGTCGGAGACGGCTCCGGAAGAAAGTTAAAGTGAGTCCATCAGGTGAGGGTTTTTTTTACTTTGAGAAAGATTGCTCAAGGAAACCCTTTTTTAAAAAAAGATAAATTAGTCCTCTAAGTAAAGAATAAAGCAGCAAATTTAATCTTTATTGGACTGTCTAGAAAGTTTTTGTTCTTGCTTGCAACAATGTTTTGTGGATTGAAGTGATTGTAACGTTTCCTGTTTCTCCCCTTGAAGTGAATGGACTGATTTTTTTCCCTCTATTTTTTACCACCTTATTTTTTTGGCTTAAATTAAAACTTCTTTATTTTAACAAATTCCCCCTTCTATTTGTTATAAAATTATATCAAAGACACTTAAAAAAAATTGTTTTCCATAAAATTGAGAAAAAGTATAAAAAAAAGTTGAATCTG